TGTTAGTTTTTCCTGCTAACATCCTGTATGGTGTAGAATTGCAAACATTGTTGCTAACATCCATAAAAAGAAAACATTGTTAGTAACATGTTTCCGAGTCCGATAACAACCTAAGATTTTTCAGTGTCAATGGAAAGACAATTGATATGACTGAAGATCATCGAGTAGCTAGTGCAACTGAAAGAGCTAGGATAGCAAGAACTGGGCAGCCCCTGAAAGATGGGGAAGTTCGTCTTAATGGTATGATATTTTGCTCTGTTTCCATTGAATTCTTTTCCCATTTACGGTGGAGGCATAATCAATGTTTGTTGTTGTTTCAACAGGACTAAATCTTGCTAGGATGTTTGGAGACAAGTTTCTTAAGGAGCAAGACTCACGCTTCAGCTCAGAACCATATGTGAGCCAAGCTGTTCGTATCACCAAAGCATGCACAGCTTTCGCCGTTATTGCTAGGTAACTTCTGTTCTCCTAATGCTAGCAAGGTAATGCTAGCGATATAATACAACCATCTGCTGACTAGGTTTTTTTTTTGTGTATGTACGCAGTGATGGACTCTGGGATGTCATCAGCACGAAAAAGGCGGTACAGCTTGTTGTTGAGGTAAAAGATCTGACGACTGTTTTTTCCTGTCATTGTTCTGCAGCTGCAGTGGAATTTATCGTTGCTTGCCTTCACATGTCACAATGTGCAGGGAAAGGAGAGGAACTCTGGTGACAGCACCTCAGCGGCTAAAGTAGCCAACCGTGTATTGAACGAAGCTAGGAATTTGCGAACCAAGGACAACACATCCGTGATATTTGTAGATTTTGACATTCTGAGAACAGACCCTTGTATCGCCAAATGACATGTCAGATTCGAGACCACCACCTTCTTTCCATGAATCGTCTTCCTGGCCGCTTATAGCTCCAAGTTTTGCTCCACCCGTTCTGTTTTTTTAGTGAGACGTGATGTGTTCGCATGAACCGCCCTGAAATAATCTGTAAATTGGCAGAGGAGCAGAGTGCATCCCGTGTTGTAATCTGGTGCATGCTTAGAGTCTATCTACTATAAATATACATATGCTTTCTACTCGGAGGCAACCATAATAACAAGGAATAAACCCAGCTTGTATGGCAACCAGCCTAGCTAGCAGATAATAATGCTTTGTTGACCTGCATGATATGATATGATATGATATGACATCACTTTTACCTTGCTGTAGAATGTGCCTCCAAATTGAAGTCGAACTGCAAGATGGAGGCAAGCAAAAACTGCCTGACGACAGAAATGGAATGCATCCAGTCCAGTTGCTTGGTTTCAGTTTGTGCACAGGTTGGTTGGGGCTCAGAAGGCACCAATTGCCTGCCTGACAGAAATGGAATGCTGTGGAAATTAAACTGCTTCCAAGGGGAGGGGTAGTAGAATCTAGTGGTGCACCCCTGTATCCCAGGATGGAAGGATGAGGGGGTGGAAGCTAGTCCTGGTCCTTTTACTCCTTTGTGCAGCCCCAGAATTAGGGCCTCGCTCGTTCCCAGGACCAGCTATAGCTGTGGTGCACATCAATCTCCTTTCCTCTCAAGGGAAAGGCACTGCAAGTAGTTGGAGCTACCGTGGTAGTACGTAGTCATGGTAGGAGATGGCTTTCCCTGCAAGATCGTTAAGAAAAGTAGAAAACGATGCCAGACCTTGCAAAAGGCGTCTCAAGGACAACAATTAGCTAGGTTGATATATCACCACAACAGAGCCATGCGTTGGTTACAATAAAGTGATAAACATCCGTACTATTGCAAAGAAACATCAAACATCACTGCCCAGTGCTATTCCAGAAGCCATATATATGCTTTGGAGGTCAGTCAGATTTCCACGTATGACGTATGCTTTGGAGGTCTGCCAATGAATGTCCACTTGGGCGATAGAAGAAGATCCTCTGTTTTGCCTGTAGAGCATGTCCACCGGTTTCAAAAGTCGTCTGTCCCCCAATATCTATATATTAGGGTAGCTTAATAATATTGCTTTTGTGAATATTAGAAAAGTTGGTTCAGCAGTACCCCCAATGTATCTCTGGTAATACCTATGCGAAAGATGGGCAAACATGTGTGTAATAAAAAAAGTACTAAAAAGTAATGGTTGGGATGTGCCTCATGTTAGGGCGTCCCCAACATTGTCGAGCCTGCTAGCTAAGAGAGCATCTGGCCAATCACGAAGAAAGAGAAACAGAAAATCCACAACGCTAGCGAGGTAGCGAGAGCTAAGCTCGCACGTTTCTCAAAAATTTTCAAGTCTCTGACAAAGTTACCACTATGTGACTTCTTAGTTTTTTAATCGTTTTACGCTCCACCTCAGCTAGCGTTTTGGAAAGCATGGCTGTCTCCAACGAGTAGGAACGCAAAGATGACACCTATTCCAGTACTTAGTCACGTACAGGAAAAAGAGTCAGGCACGCAAAACCTTCTTCTTCAACAGCGAACCCAAAAAAGACTACCGGTTTCCTCTGTCCGGTGCACCGCTTGCTCCTCCGTCTTCGTCTTCCCCGCGGCCGGCCACCGAGCTGCGAGCTCCGGTGCGAGATCCGGCGAGGCGCGGCCCCTTCGCGCGAACAGCAATTTCGCACAGTAGGGCGTCATACCTTGTGGTCAGGGAGGATGGAAGGCGTCAGGGAGGCCACGAGGACGCGACGGTGGGGCGCCCGAGATGCGTCGGCAGCGACTGTGCAAGGGACGGGGGCGAGTTCGCATCATAGGCTCAAACAAACAGTGGAATAAGAAAACAAATTGGGAAAAGGAGGAAGATTTCGTGGATGAACGCACCAGATCCTTACGATTCTGATGAAGGGGAAGGCAGTGAGCGCGTCAGCTCAAAACTGTGGCCGCGTCTCCATCATGGATCTGTGCACGCAGCCGCCAGCAAAGCCGGCCGTCGCATCTGCCGGTGCTGCCGCTGGCGGAGAGGACGCCATGGCCGCGTCTCCATAGTCGATCCCCGGACGTAGCCGCCGTCAAGGCCAGCCGCTGCATCCACGCGTGCAAGAGCCGGCAGGGCCTGCGGCTGCATCAGGAAGGAAGGAGGCGACGTTCTCGGTCGGGTGAGAGCAGCAGAGGCGAGCGGCGTTGGCGCGGATCCAGGGTGAGGTGACGGAGGGAGCGAGGGAGAGATGACGACGAAGAGAAGGCCGGTGGTCCAGACATTTGCGTCGTCTCCCTCTCGAGACGTTTATTTGCGTATCGGATCGGCTTGAACGCAAAATGCATGGTGTGTATGGGTCATCCGTTGGAGCGTTTTTCTGGTACCCAAAATCACTGTAGATGACCAATTTTGTGTTTGGGTTGTAAGGTTGGAGACAGTCTTATCGGGAGAGATACAGCTCTCCCTTTATTTGAAGGGTGATAAGACAAATATCGATGACCACAAAAAAAAGTTATTAAGAGACTGCTAAAATAAGAAAAAAAGTACCATAATCCCTGGTTATAAGGATATGAAGAGGTATTGAGGCTGCTCGATATGCTTTACCTCGTTCCCTTCTCCTTTGTCCACTTGGACCCCTGCAAGCAACTCCACCAGACTGAGAAAAGAGATCATTTTCCCTGTATTCTTACATAAAGAAGATTGAGGTGCAAAAACACAGCACCAATAGATCTTCTTTTTCCAAAAATTTTCTCAATCCCTCGAAATCTCTCCTCTTTCCCTCAAACAGAGGGGCAGTAATTTTTCTCAACCCCCTCCCTTACCTTCTCTGTCACTGGCATATGGGCCCCACGTTGCACTGCATCGCGTCGAGTGTCGCGCTGCTCCCTGTCGCACCGAGCTCCACGTCGGTGAGGTCCGCGCCAGCGTGCTTTGAGCTGTCCCTGCAACCCCGCGCTTGGCAGGAGAGCCCTACGCCGGTTAGGCTACCATAGCCCACAGCTTTGCGCTGGGCAGGCTGCCGCCGCTGCATGCCTCTAGTATTGTGAGAAGAGAAGGCAAGGAGAGAAGGGCAGAAGAGAATTTTTTTCTCACTAACAGATGAATCCTATGTATTAAGGTGATGAAGGTTCGGACCAGTTTGGTATAGCCCCTCCTCCTGCTCCAGATTCACTACGTAAAAAACAGTACAACGGAACAAATTTTTTTTAGGGACGGCGGGTGATGGAGCCGTCCCTACAGTGGCGTGCTCGGGAGCCTAAAGACCAGCCATTCCTATAAATAGAACAGAAGGGGCGGCTGGTAATACGAGCCGCCCCTACAAATGGGTCGAATTTGTAGGGGCACCAGCCGCCTCCGATGTTAAGATTTATAGGGGCGGCTCAATAACCAACCGCCCCTACAAATGCTCCAATGAATAAATACTCGGTTTCAACTCCCCATTCCAGAGGCTTCTTCTCACCCCTCCCTCCGTTCTCTTCGCTTTCTCCCTCCCTCGCTCTCCCGACGCCGACAAGGTGATGGGCGGCTGGCATCGCTGGCAGCGTGGCAGGTGGACTGGCCCCCCGGGGAGGCGGGCGAGCCCCTCGTGCACCCGGGCGGCTGCTGCTGTGACGGCTCTTGGCACCTCCTCCGTGCTGCCCTCACCGGGCAGGTGGGCGGCGTGCAAGCAGCAGGCGGCTCTCCACCGACTGGGGTAGAACGGTCATTTGAGGGGCAGGCATTGAATGCCGACTACCGACTTTTTGGGATGCGAGGAGGAAAGTCTAATAAACAAGACAACGGACCCAACCAAATAATCCTAAATCCTGTCACATGTCCTCCTCTATCGTTGGTCGCTCGTTTTGCTACAACTACAAATCTACAATGGCTGCACCCCACCCCACGTGCCCTCGCGGCAGGTGCATGAGTTCGCGCGCGCGCGGAGCCGGCCGTCGATCTGGTGCCCAGCCACCAGTCAACGACACACTGCGTCACTCAATGCCTTCCCTTCCCTCCTCAAATTAAAGCCTCAAACCCTCACCAACTCACATCGCAGTCTCCCTCGATCGATCTAGCTCAGATCACTGAACGAAGCAGCACACAGCAGCAGGTCGGGTAGCCACATCCCACTCCCAGCCATGGCGGCCGGCGGCGGAGGCGGAGGCGGAAGCGAGGCCGTGCAGAAGGCGCTGCAGTCGGTGGCGCAGAGCACGGGGTGGACGTACAGCCTCCTCTGGCGCCTCTGCCCGCGCCAAGGGTACGCTTCTTCTTGCTTCTTGCTCGACCGTCCCTCCTCTCGTCCTTTTTTATCGATCTGATCATGCATGCATGGCGCTGCGCAGCGCGCTGGTGTGGGCGGAGGGCCACTACAACGGCGCCGTCAGGACGCGCAAGACGACGGTGCATCAGCCGGGCGGGGAGGGCGCCGGCGAGGAGGGGGAGGAGACGGCGACGGCGGCGGGGGCCGGCCGGGTGGCGCTGCGCCGCAGCCGGCAGCTCAAGGAGCTCTACGACTCGCTGTCGGGGGAGGCGGCCGACGGCGGTCGAGGAGCGGGCGGCGGCAGGGACGGCGCGCAGCGGCAGCACCAGCAGGTGGTGCCGCTGCCGCCTCGCCGGCCCACCGCGGCGCTGGCGCCCGAGGACCTCACGGAGACGGAATGGTTCTATCTCATGTGCGCCTCCTACTGCTTCCCTCCTGCCGTCGGGTAACCTATATTATGAGTAGCTACATGTATTTGCAGTTTGCATGCATGCTACCTCCATCTGCAGAATGAAGCAGCAGAGCACAAGGAACGAACTCAAGGTGTCGACGTGTAACGGCGTGAGGTGGAAACAGACCGGCTCTGGCGCTGCACAAGCACAACAGCGTGAACCCAACCCAACGCTTAAATCCCACAAACGACTGATCACTTCGGTCTACTCCCTGGTTCCAAATTATAAGATATTTTAGCTTTTCTAAATTTATAGCTTGCTATATAATTAGACATACACCATGTCTAGAACTCTAGACGCATAGTAAAAGTAATGTATTTCGAAAAACCAAACGGTCTTATAATTTAAAACGGGGATAGAGTAATAATTAATTAACATCCGAGGTTGACCTCACATCCCAAGGGGCCCGGAGAAAGGATTGGAGGCGTTGAAGGGAGCTGTCGGCCCGTGGAATCAAGGAAGCGGGCAATGGAGGAGCGACGTCCCTTGGCGCCGAACGGAGGACTCTAAGAGGTCTCGAACCCCGTCCTGCTAGATTGTAAGGGCATTGGCCAGCCCTTGTGTCTCTCACACACCTTTGAGAAGACAAGATGGTCTTCGGTTCCATGAAGACATAGACGAGTGACCATGATGGGTGGACCAATTACTTCATTAACCATGAAAATATGCCCGTGCACTGTAACATGACATACAACGTGTGGCGTGGTCATTGGACTATTTGCGTCTGAGAGATTTATTCGATGATCATATGCCATGCATTTGAATTCGTTTTGGAATCAAACTCCATAGGCAGTGTGCCTGGACGATCGACATATACTGCTCTAACACATATGAGTACGAGAGAGAGTGGCAAACAATGGAAACACTCCATATTCTAATTCATTTTGGAATCGGCACCTGCACCATGCTTGGACACATCACTCTAACTTGTACAAGCACGAGAGAGACTGGATCCGTTGGTTTACCATCGCACGGCTGTGAGTGATGTCAGACTAAGAAACATTTTTTCCTCTTTATAATTTATAAGCTAGAAATTAAGTATGTTTTAAATCAGTCCATGTTGTTTTACATGGGAGGAACCAAAGGTTCCTTCCAAGCACCATAACAAGCCCTCTAAACATTACTGTCCTGGCGAGATAAATCTTACTAGCAAAACTATTATGGCCTTCATAGAAAATTACTGAAATATATGTTTTAATTTCTTTGCAATGCAAAAATGTTTAATTTACAAGGGAAAAAAACCACTGATCTATGCTTCAAGAGTGACATTCTTTATTATCATATATGTCACCTCGCACTTTGTTTTCATTTCTTTCCAAATTAAATGATACGAGTTTATGATTCACACACTCACAAAAAGTGTGCTAGACAATTTCAAGAAAGCATTGCCCATATTTTTGGTACTAAAATGTAATTATTATATTCACATTTTTTGAACTATTATATACATACACGACATTCAAACAGCTGTTCCTGTTTAGTTGCATTTCGAACTATAGTTTTATTCACTCTAATCTCTTCATATATACTATTAGAACTCGTTTCTTAATTTGACATTCTTTTCAGGATCATATAGCTTATGATGCTGCATGTATCAATAAATTATCAAATGGCAAGCACAAACATTTCATATAACAAACATATAATGTTCTTTTTCATTGTAACAAGAAAACCTTCCATATATAAGTCATATACATGTGTAGTGCTTTCAAATTTCAGGTTGCCTGGGGAGGCATTTGTAAGGAGAGTTCATGTGTGGCTATGTGGGGCAAACAAAGTTGACAGCAAAGTGTTCTCAAGAGCAATTCTCGCTAGGGTACACATACCATCTCCTTCTTTTCCATGTTTAAAAAAATGTTTGGTACTCTTCTTGTTGCAAATATTTGGCGCTTTCACTAAGATCAAGTTCTATGTTTGAAACTTTGGCTATCATTTTCAAACTAATTTGTGTGGAGCATTAAATCATATGTGTAATCTCATTGTAGTACCCTGGTTCATAAGTGTTATATGGTTCGAACATTGTGGCTCATGTGTTCTATTCTAGTGGAATTGGTCCCATCTTAGTTGTTTAGTTTTAATAGGTCTAGGCCATCTTATAATCTTCTTGTTTTCTAACATAGTTTCTCTGGATTAACCCTTTTACACGAAGCGAGGATAAAAGTCCAAGAGACACACTATACATATGTCGGCTCGTTCCATGTAGGAATTGGGCCATAAGAAGATTTTGAACAGGGTGTTACTTAAATCAGAGCCAGTACTCTCGCTACACGAGTACATGCATGGCCGCTAGTGGAGGGACAACATGGCATGGTTACGGTAATAAAGGATGCGAGATGTAGTGCTACTCCAGTCCATTAGTGTTCTGAATTCCTCATGCTGTGGACCATGTGTTGTGTTCCAATAGAATTAGTTTTCTTATCGTTTTTGAAATATTAGCACCTCTAGGCTAACCCTGTTACACAAAATGAGAAAGGCAATATAATAGAGATGTTATTTATATGGAGGCTCATTCCTCGTTGGAATAGATCTTGGATGGGGTGTTACACTCATGCATTTAGATGTCACAACTATATTTCAATAGAAAATAATACTTGTTCAAGTTGTTGCACCCAGAAGTCAATGCAAAAAATCAACAAGGTCAAAGTACTTTTGACCCTAGTGAGTAGTTTGCAGTGTGTGAAAACTATAGAGAGTTTGGGAAAAAAAAGGCTAAATTAAAAAAAACTCTTAATTAAGATCTACTTCCTCCGTTCTAAATTATAAGTTGTTATAGCTTTTATTATGTATCTAGACATAGTCTATATCTAGATGCATAGTAAAAATAATGTACCTAGAAAACCCGAGCGATATGTCTAGATACATAATAAAAGCTATGTATGTATAAAACTCAGAACAACTTATAATTTGGAATGGAGGAGAAGAATTATCATAAAGACCAGTCAAGCGATGCATGACAAAAGCTAAGCTTGCGATAGCAGTTGAACTTAAAACATTATTTTCCTTTCAAGATATGAGCATGAAGCTCAAATTGTATTTAGATATCCAAAAGTCTTATTTTCCTTCTTTGCCTCATGATAGAGAATTGAAGGTGCTAATTAATTTCTCCTTTTATTACTCTTTTCATGTGGAGCGTTACAAATATTTGTGGCAATCAGAGTGCAGGTATCCAGGTATTAACATTCGCCTCTGAAACTACTGAATATTGTATAAGCCTTATCAATGTTTTGCCATTCAATACTAAAATAAACCACTTCTAGTTTTACAACAACGTTTTAGCAAATAAGTCTTTATTTGCAGTGAACTTATTCTATTTTCGATTAAGTTTCCAATATTTCAGCAATTGCATGACTTCCACTAAATATTGAATCTCAGGCATATGATCAATTAATGCTTATTCATTGACTTCGATCTCTTAATAATGCAGACAGTAGCATGCATTCCAGTTGACGATGGTGTCCTGGAAATTGGGACTACAGAGAAGGTCAGTGAGTTAAATTATGCATTTTAGAAATTTACAGCCGTTAACTGTTAATATTCTGCAAACTGATCAAATTACATAAGGTCAATTAATATTTTCAATAATGAAATTAATAATAACCAAGCATCAATTATATGGAGACGTCTGAAAACAATAGGATCTAACAAATCTATGGATACATTTCAGGTAGAAGAAGACATTTGTTTAATTCAATATGCTAGGAGCATCTTCATGGATCAAATTGGCGCCCACATAATGCCTACCCTCTCAGGCCATTCAACTTCCACCGCCCCAACCACACACATCAATCATCAGCCACTCCAGACAAAAATGGGAAACTGCATCGGTGACATAAATGTGCAGAAAAATAGTCTCAATTCAGGAGACGAGCACAATAATGAAATGGTAGATGGCGACGACAGAATTGATTTATTAGAGATCAATACCGGAAATGATCCAAGCCGGCATTCGCCACAGGACACTAATGTAGGTGTAGGCAATGAGCAGGGAACGCTCAATGCAGGGACCAGTGAGCTGATGCTGATTGGGACGTCGGAAAGGGTAAGAGATGGTTGTTCAAAGCAAGAGGATGAAGAGATCCCAGTGCTTATGGTTTGCCAGAACAACGGTAATCTGGTAGCGCAGAATGAATTTGGTCCATGGCATGATTTTCTCGACGAAGACCTGAGCAGTAAATACCTGCAATTCCCAGGTAATTTTTTTTGGACCCGTGACACATTAATCTTGCAGTAAGTAATTTAAAATTCAATTTTGAAATTAAAATACATGTGCCATCTTTAATCGAAATAGTGCACATCAATCTCATTTCTCATTTTCTTTACCCCAAGGCGTCACACTTATTTAAATCGACACAATCGACACTCTGTGTTATCACGTGTCTAAATGTCTTGATATTGTTGGATATTGGCTTTACAACTTATAGCTTCAATTCGGGATGAAAGTAAAGGTGCAGGTCACTGTCCAATAGAAATAAGTGGATCAAAGGTTAGTAGGAACCAGGGCCCGTGCCGGCAAAAGTTAAGGCCTTGTTCTAATATAAACTCTAAAATAGGCCCTAATAGTCTAGAAAAATAGAATGATAATCATATACAATATTCTATAACACCAACCTATAACATCGAGTAATTAAAAAATGTTTTCTATGGTAATACAAGACCAACAGTCAATTACCTACGTATGTTTAAGAATTACTTACTTGCTGGGTGACAGCCTCCAAGTACCAATCATCTCAAATTTTTGATGGATCCATGACACTATGATATATAGTTTGGCACTTGCCAATACACTTCTCCCAGTGTCCCTCGCCAACACTTTGCAGTTTGCACTTTAATGTTAGCAGTCAAGTACTAGACTCGAGATTCTCTCTAGCAACCAACAAACGGAGAAGTGACTTAGCGAGTTGGATCAGGACGAAGTAGTCAGATGGAAGATGAAACTACATAGTGCCAAATAAGAAGAAATGTTGTGTGGTTCCTAGAGTTGGCATAGGCACTCATCGTGAACTTTGCACAGAAAAGTTAGCACAAAGTATTGAATATTGATTACTGATCGATGTTTTGAGGCCCCTAAAAATTTGGAGCCCCGGCCCGTACCGTCGCACAGCCCGCACACCCCGTGCACGTCCCTGCTACGAACTAGAGCAGAAAGTAATTATATAACTACTGTAAAGCCGAGGGCAAATGAAGCTTCACCTAGTCAGGTGGTGAGCAGTCCCGAGGATGTGAAAAATGCCAATAATGTTGCATTAGACAAAACAGTAACATTGCATTATCTCATGTCATGTCTGTAGTGCCCCTTCGGGAGTATTTATAGGAAGTACATAGGAGTAGAAACATAATTACAAGTCTCCTCATGCCAACTAAACATAGGGGTAGAAAAATAATTACAAGTCTCCCCACGCCAACTACTATATTCTAGGTATTCTAGGTATATCGGTAGGCATTTTGGGAATTTCACCCATATAGAGGTCTTGATCATCGCCACGGCGTGTGGGACCCTCACTTGACAGTTCGTATCTTCCTCCAATCTCCTATCTTGTCCTTGTGGTCTGGTCCTTACTTCAACCTTCGTCCCTCTTAGGTCTCTTTCGACTTGTTTGAAGGTATTTTCCCAACTTTGTTTCTGATACCTTTAGGAAAACATCAAGTTCCCTACAAAATAATGCGCCATGCTTCCTCGGCCATTAATGACATTTACCATCAAGGAGAAGGGGGGAGGGGTGGGGGTGGGGTTAACAGTGATAGAATTTATAGGACCTCTAGGTGCAGATCTAGCGGGTGAAACTTAACTTAGACAAAGAACTTGTCGATCTTTATCTCACTCAGTTTCTTACAAAATATGTATCTCACTCTTAATGAAGAGCACACATTCATCAACATCTTTATCTCACTCTTAATGAAAAGTAGTTTCTTAATTGATCTTAATTCTTACTCTTAATTCATCTTATAATTCTCCCCCTCAAAATATGGCATGAACTATACTGCCATAATTTCAAGAACTATTCAGAAAACTGTGAACGAGGAGACACTTATGACTTATTTTATTCGCATGATTATGCCATGCAAATAAAGTTATTTCTTGATCCGTATAGGAGTACACTTTCCTCGTTCCATTTCAAAAATTCAATGAGGTCTTTTATTAACTGTACTTTTACAAGTCACGCTTGCATCTTTTTCTTGTCCTTTGATTAGTATTGACCATGACGGTGCATTTCTATTGTGCCATGATCAATACTAGGATAGCATAAGAGCTACCCAAACTTCTCTCACTATGCGGGATACAAAAACATGAGTCATCACAAAACTTCTCCCGTCATACAGGATTGACTAGCATAAGTACTATGCCAAACTTCTCCCCATGCGGGATAAACCTATATACAAATTACCATAACGAAAAATTTAGTCATGATGACTAAAACATTCACTTATACTTTATTTTTGAATTAAATCTTCTCGTTGGTTCCAATTTAATCAGAAAATTAGTAAACTAACAAAAAAATTGTCCTGAACTGGCTTGACTCAAGCCTTTTCATTCACATACCCCAGCATTGCAGCCCGTTGATATGCAGCCGAGTGATCTCGCCGGTTAAAAAATAAAACTTATAAGATGCTTCTGCATCAATTCTACATCACCGTTGGGTAAAAAATAAAATTAATGCATAAAACTCATAAATTAACTTGAAAGACATATAACTACTCTTCAAAATTAAATTCTTCCGTTGATTCGAATTTAATTAGAAGATAATCAACATCATTGCAGCGAAACACGATAATAAAATACATTCTATTAGTTCAGGAGCATTTTTTGGTCTTTATCTACTCTCTAAAAAATTGACCATGTTGGTGTAAAATTTATCAGAGATTTAAACTCCAACCTTAAACTCATTATAATATTGTTATCATCAACGTTGGTCAGAAAATAATAATACCATAATTTAACATAAACAAATCAGACTACTCCTCTAATTTAAATTTTCCCGTTGGCTCCAATTTAATTAGAGGATAAACATAATCATAATTTACTAAAAATAACTGCTCTTCAAATTAAATTCTTCCGTTGGTTCTAATTTCATTAGAAGATAATCAACATTAAACTTTGCAGCGGAAACATGAAAAAATAATTTATCTACTTTTCAGAAGCATTTTACTGTGTACTTATCTACTCTCTAAATAATTTATCCCGTTGGTTCAAAATTGAATAGAGATGAAAAACTAATCAAAATTCATCAAAATTCGCTTCTGAAAATAATAAACAAATTCACACTCATTACTGTGCATTCGCCCGCCCGGGAAACAAAGTACGGCCCATTCTCTGCCCATATCCGCGTGCGGCGACTCAAGTAACTCAATGGATCGTCTTCGCCAAGACACGACACGCTCCAGCGCCTAGGCCTTAACACGGGCCCGTGGTCGGGATTTTCCAACCCCACCGGGGCGCTGCCGGCTGAATCTCTCGAGCCGTCCATCTTCATCCGACGGTCGGCCTTCATTTTCACAAGATCAAAACCCGGTCGCGCGCCGGTGGTGCGCCCTAACCCTAACTCATTTCTACCTTTCTTCTTCTCTTTCACCTTTGCGAAGCGAAACGAAAAGGAGCAAAGAAAGTGTAAGCGGTGCCGCCATCGGTCCCGCCGGGCGTGGCGCGCCCAGCGAGTGAGTGCACCGCCGTTGAGTGGTCTAGGCGACGGTGCCCTAGTCCCCCATACGCGCTAACCCTAGCTCTATCCCTTTCTTCGCCAGACACCACCATAGCTGCCGCGACTCGAGATCTGAAGGGTGGACACGACGCAGAGGTGGCGCGCCGGCCGTGGTGCCTTCGCCGAGGCACGCATGCCACCGGAGCCACGCGTGATGCCGTCGAGTGGCATCGCGGTGGTGCTCTTTGCACCCTACGCACGTGTACGCGGCGCCGTAGAGCGCTGGCGAGGCGACGGTTCTCTTCCAGCGCGCGCGGTCTTCCTGTACAACGGCGGTACCGTCGGCGGTGAGGAGAAACCCGGGTAGGTCTCTCCCCTCGCCGACCTCTCTTCTAGGGTTAGGGTTTGGGTTCCGATTTGATTTGAATCACTTGATTCTTGATTTCTATTCTATTTTCTACCCCAATCTACTAGATCTACACACTAGGACCATGGCTCTAATACCATTGTTATACCTTTAAGATCAACTAGGAGTAGATCAGCGGGTGTAACACAATGACACAGGATTTATACTGGTTCAGACAACAGGCCCTACGTCGAGTTGAGGTCGGTCTGTGACTTCATTCCTGAACCCCGGTGCTCAAAGTTTGCTGTGGGGTTACAAACGAGTAAGGAATAAGAAGGGGGGGGGGTGTTAGAGGTCCGGTCGGACTCTGAATCGAGTGGAAGAGAGTGATAGATGCTTAAACGTGTTCTAAGTATTGGAGTGTATGCTGTGTGTGATTGAGCTTATCAGCTATTGAGAGCATGTAGACTGTGTAGCTGTTGAGCTCTAGAGCCGTTGTGCTGTTGTCCTCAAGTCCTCAAGTCTTCGAGTCTTCGACCCCCCATGGTAGGAGAGAGTGCATCCCCTTTTATAGTTGAAGGGGATGGCCTTACAAGTCAGAGAGAAAGAGAGAGTGCATACGGGCGCTGCCTAGTCTTGTTGCCCATGCCATCGGTTACAGGAGGGTCGTCATTGCCCACCTTACTGTTCATGCTCTATTGTATCTGGCAGGCTGCACAGTGTTCGCCTGGTATGACAAACGACGACGCCCACAATACTATTTATGCTCATACGCGTCCGGCAGGCTCTACCGTGTTCGCCAGGTACGGCAAACGACGACGCCCACAATAATGTTTATGCTCTGACACGCCTGGCAGGTTCTACTGTGTTCGCCTGACATGCCCCGACGACACCATTCTACAGGTGCGCAGGGCATGGCAGGGTATGGTCCTCGGCATTACGGTTGACTTGAGTGCCTTACCTTATCTGCTCCGCCTGCTCCCTAGGCCCATACTGAGCGGGCGTCCCCGGTCGGTCGTTCCCAATCGTCCCCGACCGTGTTGGTCGAGAAAGAGCAGCGAGCAGAGGTCCTATCGTATTCTTGGTCAGAGAAAGGGGGTCAGAGTCGGATTGTAGTCCCACCACGGCCAGGCATTTTGGTCGCACCTCCGATCAGATCTCCTAGCCAGAGGTGCCAATTGAGGATCAAATCATGGTCTTGACCTGTCATTGTGTATCTGGGCCGGTCTAGGCATGTGCTGTCGCTGCACCGCCTGATGGGCCGAGTTTTGTAGGGAAGCGGGTCCATTAGGGACCCTGGGTTTATGAACCCGATAGGAGCCCCAGAGCCCTTTTAGGGCTTCTATGAAGCCGTGAAGGGGCTATTGTGTTGCTACTTTTGAGGGTGCACGGGAGTATGATGCTAGAAGATCTCTCGTAAGGAGAGAGCATTGTACGTCTCGAAAGGGCCCCTATCCTAGATTCTGGATCAGAGAACGGAGAGAGGGAGGAGAGCATTGTAGCAGGAGAATAAGGATCTTGGCTCCCTTGTTCAGCTTCATGCCCCAAGGTGCAAAGAAGTCCTAGGGCTGTTCACACACGCTTTGTGTGTTATTGTAAAAGCCTAGGGCTCGTGTCTTTAGCTTAATGAAAGCTTGTATTTGCTTTGTAATTCCTGTGCCCATTGCGTCGTGAAGGTGGGCTAAGTGGATACGGGCGCCTAGCCTCCATGGGGAGGACTGGCGAAGGCCGTGGAGGCACGCCGGAGGGATATTGGTGCCCAGCCCTTGAGGAGGAGACTCACTGGTAATCCATTTTCCATCGGGTGGTACGGGGCTTTACACAGCCGAGCTTGTGGATCAAGGACTTGCAGGTTGTCCCTGAGAGGAACGCATTGGTGATGTCTGTGTCGACGACATCAGGAAGGGAGTTGCACTGCTTTGAAAACCTATGGATGTAATCCCACAGGCCTATTGGGCTCATTGGGCTCCTACTGGCAGCTCTTGAGGTCCTAGGAATTCCTAGGACGGACATACGTTCCTAGGAAATTTCCGACGAAGACCCTCTTGAGATCCGCCCAGTCGCGGATGTTGTCGGGCGAAAGGAATTCGAGCCATGCTCGAACATGCTCCCCCACGTAGATGGGGAGGTACTGGATGATGAAGTAGTCATCATCCACTCCTCTCGCTTCAGTAGGTGAGCTGAAAGTCTTGAGCCATATACCGAGGTTCGTCTCCCGGTGTACTGGCGATGTTGATGATGGATGCGAAGCGCCGTGGAAATGATGCTTTCTAGATGCGACGACCAAAGGCCTATGGCCCTAGGCCATCCGAAAGCTGGGGCTCCGATCGTTTGGCCGCCACCATGCCCGGGTGCGATCCTCGCACTCCTCGATGGTCGAGCCGGGGCACATGCCGCCCGCTCTCGCCGCCATTCGATGGTCATTATTGCATGCGGGCGTGGCGTCGATTGTTGATGACGCCTTCACGAAGCGCCATGGTTTGGCCCAAGCCGTTTGCGCACATGTGGTCGGTGTGGAGCGGGCACCGGTTGGGCTGTGGTGTAGCCGTGGCTTCTGCGCCCACGCCCGTGAATCTTCTTTGTGGTGAGTGGATAGAGCGATTCGACTGGTGCGGCCTCGGTCCCCTAATTGGGCAAGAGGCCACGAGCCGGTGTCGCGATGCAGAGCTCTCCGCCTGCTGAACGGCGATGGTCTCCACCAGCGCCTAGAGGTTTCGGTGGATTGCCTGTTCCTGGGGGTCGGCAGGCTCGGGGAGGCCGCGTAGAAGCATCACCGCAACAATGATGTTCTGGCCAGCCTGAGCAAACTGAGGGGGTCGTCCCCTCCGTCTAGTATGTTACACTAGACCTGATGGGCACGACCCCGAGCGTCGCTCGCTGGGTTACGCGCATGTGGCGCAGCGTGATGCGTTGGGCGCTCCGGCATAGGCGGCTGGCTCTACCGCCTTTGCCATAACTCCTCACCGTGCTGCTGTGCACGCGCCAGGGCCTGCGCATGGGGTTCCATAGGGGTGTGAGTCTGCAGAGACTCCACTACCTTCGGTGGCTGTCTCGGGGTGTCCGCCATAGCGCACTCCTAGGACAGAGGGTGGCCAGGTGCCATGACGTCGTCGATGCTGGAGTCATCACTTTCGACCTCGTCATCGATGAGGTTGTGGAAGGAGGCGGGAGCGTAGCCCGCCATCCCCATGAATTTGGACGTGAGAGGGGGCGATGTCAGCATCCTTCGTAGTCCCTGCACGCACGTGTCCACGGGGGACGCGAAGCCGTAGGGGAACTGGTCGCACGGCGGTCGCGGTGCGAACAATAGGGTCCCTCCGGAGAGTCGGCGAAAGGTGTTAAATAGTGAGTAAAGAACAATATGTACATCACTCACGGTGGGGTTTGAGACCAGCATGGGCTCGAGGCAAAGTGCGAGTGTCTCGACATTGAGGTCGTCGAGTGGTCCAGGGCCGGTAGAGGGCGCTCCTCCTCTAGGGGGTGCCGGAACAAGCGCCTCCTCGCGGAGGCGGAGTATGCCGAGCTGGTCGGTGATGAAGTCTAGACTCCCAAAGAGGAAGGTCTGGAGTGGCACAAAGATGGGATGAACCCACATCCCAGCAAGTGGCAGTGCGGGAAACTCCAGCGAGCCAAAACGAATCGTATCACTTGAGCCCACCATGCCGAAGATGGTGGAAAGGTGGGCGATCTGATGACCAAAAGCGTGAACGCACGGCATCCTCCCCATGGATGGCATCAATTGTCGGTGCGAAATGTGACCAACAAGTAAATATTTATAGTTTTGCCGTGCATTCTGATTGGATGTGGCCTAACACTCAATGATATAGGATTTATATTGGTTCAGGCAACAGGCCCTACGCCCAGTTGAGGTCGGTCGGTGACTTTATTCCTGAGCCTAGGTGCTCGAAGTTTGCTATGGGGTTACAAACGAGTAAGGAATGAGAAGGGGGGTGTTAGAGGTCCGGTCGGACTCTGAATCGAGTGGAAGAGAGTGATGGATGCTCAAACGTGCGCTAAGTATTAGAGCATATGCTCTGTGTGTCCGAGCTTATCAGCTGTTGAGAGCGTCTAGACTGTGTAGCTGTTGTGCTCTAGAGCCTTTGTGCTGTTGTCCTCGAGTCTTCGAGTCTTCGATCCCCCTTGCTTGGAGAGAGCGCATCCCCTTTTATAGTTAAAGGGGATGGCCTTACAAGTCAGAGAGAAAGAGAGAGTGCATACGGGCGCTGCCTAGTCTTGTTGCCCACGCCATTGGTTACGGGAGGGTCATCATCGCCCACCTTACTGTTCATGCTCTGTTGTATCTGGCAGGCTACACAGTGTTCGCCTGATACGGCAAATGACGGCGCCCACAATACTGTTTATGCTCATACGTATCTGACAGGCTCTACCGTGTTCGCCTGGTATGGCAAACGACGGCGCCCGCAATACTGTTTATGCTCTGATGCGCCTGGCAGGTTCTACCGTGTTCGCCTGACATGCCCCAACGGCACCATCCTGTAGGTGCGCAGGGCATGGCGGGGTACGGTCCTTGGTATTGCGGTTGACTTGAGCGCCTTACCTTATCTGCTCCGCCTGCTTCCCGGGCCCATACTGCGCGAGCGTCCTCGGTCAGTCGTTCCCAGTCATCCCCGACCGTGTTGGTCGGGAAAGAGCAGCGAGCGGAGGTCTTGTCGTATTCTTGGTCGGAGAAAGAGGGTCGGAGTCGGATTGCGGTCCCACCACGGCCAGGCCTTCCGGTCGCACCTCCAATCAGATCTCCGGCCGGAGGTGCTGGTCGGGGACCAGATCATGGTCTTAACCTGTCATTGTGTATCTGGGCCGTCCCTGGCACGTGCTGTCGCTGCGCCGCCTGTTGGGCCGAGTTTTGCAGTGAAGCAGGTCCATTAGGGACCCCGGGTTTATGAACCCGACAGACGGTGTCGGTGAAGGGGTGGCAGTGGAGTCCGGCGGCAGTGTCGAAGGAGCAGTGGAGATGCGGTCTAGTGGCGGCGGCGAAGGCGGTGGTGCTTCCCGTCGCTCACAGCGTGCCCTCTCGATCGGACTAGGGTTAGGACGTCTGTGGGGGCGCTGGCGGCTGCGGTGAACCTCATACCTTGCGCCTCGGCCCCACCTTACTTTTTATAGCGCTGCGTGACGGGGGCCCATCAGGCAGGAGAACGGCTGGGCGCCCTCGATCAGGGCACGGATCAAGGACCCAATTAGCCGTTGGGCCAACTGGTGGAGATCAATCTAATAACAAACAGATATTGAAAATGTATGATAGTTTATTGACAACTTGAAAACACTTAATTAATGTGAGACATTTAAGAGACAAAGAAACTAGAAATAGTAAAATTTAGAGTTGTACAGAGGAAATAAACACCATCCAACTGGTGACCTATTAATCCATCACGAAGTCATGATATTAGTCTTATAATGTGAAAATTAAACAACTTGAATATTGTGTGGTCAATATAGGAAGACAAAAGGCGGAAATCCAGATATCTTCCATTCCATTATTATTCACCCTCTACATCTATTCGTTCTTTATTTCCAGCGGCAGAAGATCAAGCAGTACTAGCGGAAAACGCACACTACGTCGAAACGGTCCTGACAATCTTACGGTTCAATGCGTGCCGGCAAACGCAAGCAGCCTCAAACACCAAAGCCTACCTGGCAGTCTCCAAGAACTCGTCGTTCTCAAGATGGACCAGTTGGAACCACAAAGCAAGCAATGATCTTCAGAGCATGTTGATCCCTGACGAAGGCACCCCACAGAGAATGCTCAAGAGCATCCTGCTCGGTGCCCCTAGCAGCAGTCACCGGAGTTACAGAGGAGACGCCGTCCAGTCACCTGAGCCGAGGGACGACGGCGAAGGCACGAGCCGGTCTCGGAGAGGTCCGGTGCTGGTCCAGGCAGAGCTGAGTGCCAGCCATGTTCTCAAGGAACGGCGGCGGAGGAGAAGCTCAACGAGAGGTTCGTCATGCTTCGGTCCTTGGTGCCGTTCGTCACAAAGGTGCGTATCTAACAATGAGAAGCAATGCAAGAGCAAGACAGTCGTGTACTCGTGTTACAGCCTACAGCTACAGCAAGCAACTCTTTTTTTTTTCTCCTGTTCGCAGATGGACAGGGCGTCGATCCTGGGCGACACGATCGAGTACGTGAAGCAGCTACGGAGACGCATCCAGGAGCTCGAGTCTCGAGCTCGGCTGGTTGACAGCAACCCGAAGACGGCGGCGGCTGTGGCGACGGCACAGCCGCCGCCGGCAGCCTCAAAGGAGACGAAGAGAGGTCATCACACCGGCGGCGGTTACCTCGCGCGCGCAGGCATAGCAGCGGAGGCGAGCGGCAGCTTCTGCAACAGCAGCGTCGTGGAGCCTCCGGCGGTGGCCGGCGACACGGAGGTGCAGGTGTCCATCATCGGGAGCGACGCGCTGCTGGAGCTCCGGTGCCCGTACAGGGAGGGGCTCCTCCTCCGGGTCATGCAGGCGCTGCACCAGGAGCTCCGGCTGGAGGTCACCTCCGTCCAGGCCTCCTCAGCAGGTGACGTGCTACTTGCAGAGTTGCGTGCAAAGGTTAGCGCAATGGAAGTATCATGAGAATTGCCTTCCTTTTGTTTTTTTGGGTGACAAATTTGATTGCGCGCAGGTGTGCTTCTGAACTCTGAAGTGTTCTTGGATTGTCTGCTGCAGGTGAAGGAGGTGCATGGCAGGAGGAACAGCATCACTGAAGTGAAGAGAACAATTCATCTAATCGTTTCATCAGACTAAATTTGTGAGGAGAATTCGATGTGTGGGGAAATTTCTAGAATAGTAAATATACCACAATCTCTCGGTCTATACATATAGAGACAATACATGGGCCAGGCCCAATTCACACACATATATTACATATAGCCCAACACTCCGCCTCCAAGATGGATAATAAACATCTATCGTTCCCATCTTGCTACATGCTATATTACATTACACTCCATAAATTCCTAGTAAAACAGTCTGCTATTTGACATCTTGAGTTAAGATGGCTTGCCCAATCAGCATCACAATAACCTTCTACGTTTAGATGGCATGACTCTTGAGTCCCTTTCTAGGGGTAACTCTTCATATATCATAGTATCTGATAAACAACATTGAAATGCCCCACTTCTTGAATAGTGCATATACCGGCTCATTGCATAGGAAATGCCATGTCTTGTATGGCATAAGTAGATAAGCTTTCCCACAAGCCTTTGGTAGGTCTCTTTATTCACCAGATCATCTGATTCAACATAAAACTTGTGGTTTGGATCAATAGACGTCGATGCAAGCTGACACCCAAGCATGCCAATATCACCAAGTAAGTCTAATATATATAATATATTTTCTGTGAGGGAACTATAACTATACCTTTTGAGGTTAATAAATCTCAATGCCAATCTCAATGTAGTGTCATTCAAGCACTCTGAGCACCCCGTGAAGCCTTTGATATGTCCCAATAGGAAAAAAAAGTTCTGGGTAGTCAATAATGGTAATAATAATAATGGCTCTGCATTTGAAGACACCCTTCGTAAGCTCATCCCTTATATCGACTCCATACCTCCATAGTTTTTTCATATCTTGCAGCAAAGGCTCGAGAAAAATATCTATGTCAATGCTATGTTGTTTTGGCCCTTATATCAGAATACTTAGCAACAAGTACTTCCACTTTTGACACAACCATATATAGGGATGTCATTGTCAATTGTCAGGATAACTGTCGATATGCTATGTGTGTTGGTCCTTTTAGCAATTGGATTTATTCCATCGGAAATCAAAGCAAACCTTATATTTCTTAGATTCACATGAAAATATGGAGACTTGTCGAAGTTCTTCCATTGTTTTGCATCCAATAGGTGACGTAGCACTCTATTGTCTTATTGTACTTATCAGAAGCCCACTAGCGTATGAGTTGTGAGTCCCTAGGGTTTGAGAAGAAACGCCTCAAGAAATCAATAGGTAACAGGAGAAAAGGACCTAGCTAGATGGTTAGAGGGGAGGGGGTGAATAGCACTAGTAAAAAAGGGCTTCTATTCCCGGCTGCCAACCCCCTTTATTCCCGGTTACGCAGCCGGGAATAGGAGTTCGGGAATAAAGGGTTAGTAGCCGGGAATAGAAGTGGACCTTTAGTCCCGGTTGATGATACCAACCGGGACTAAAAAGGTAGCCATGCCAGCACCTGGGCTGGCCCCTTTATTCCCGGTTGATATTACCAACCGGGACTAAAGGGTCTTTTTTTTCCTTTTCTGCTTATTTCAATTGATGATTCTTTTTTTGTTTTAATTTGGTTTTCGAATACGCATTATTCGCTGCAAAGTAATATACATATACGCGCACGTACTGTAAAGTTTTCGCTCGATCAATGCACGCAAGCAACACAAGTAAAAGTAAACTAAAACATAATATTACATTTCATCGTCACATGTAAAGTTTGCATTAATTGTACATTTCATCATCACATGTTCTTTGGATCAATATGAAATTTGGCTTTCATCATCACATATTTGGGTCATAGTAAAACTCGCTGCCGGGAGTTAAGACCTGATCATTCAGAAATCCACCTATATAATTTCATACATATATACATTAATGCATATTTCATCAATATAATTCATAAATATAATAAATATAATATATATATATATATACCGGTGGTTTAGAATTAATGGAGTGTTGGCGACGGGCGGTGGTGGACAGCGGCGCTGGATCGAGGCACGGGGGCTCCTGGCCGGGCGCGGCGTCGTCGGGGCTACTCCGGCGAGGTGTGGGTGGGCGTCGGGATGCCCTCCGGTGAGGAAGAAGGCGCGGCGTCGGGCCGGGGTGGCCCGGGAAAGCGAAATCGGCGGCGGCGTGGCGCGCGCGCGGCGTCGGGGGCAGCCAGGGGCTCCTCCTTGAAGGGCGCGGCGCAGGGCTACTCTGGCGAGGTGGGCGGGCGTCGGGGTGCCCTCCTGTGAGGAAGGCGGCGTCGGGGGTGGCCGGGAAGGCGAAATCGGCGGCGGCGTGGCGCGCGCGCGGCGTCGGGGGCGGCCGGGGGCTCCTCGGTGAGGGGCGCGGCGTCGGGGCTACTCCGGCGAGGTGGGCGAGCCTCGGGGTGCCCTCCGGTGAGGAAGGCGGCGTCGGGGGTGGCCGGGGAGGCGAATCGGCGGCGGCGGAGCTCTGGGGACACGCTGAAGACGAAGACGATCGATGAGGAGGAAGAGAGAAGGGAGGCGGCGGTATATAGGAGAGGGACCTTTAGTCCCGGCTGCATCCACCGCCCGGGACTAAAGCACCTTCAGTCCCGGCTCCTGCCACTAGCCGGGACTAAAGGGGGACCTTTAGTCTCGGCTGTTGGAAGGTGCCGGGACTAAAGGATGTTTAGGCGGGCCGCCAAATGCAGCCCATCTTTAGTCCCAGCTGGTGGCAGGAGCTGGGACTAAAGGTGGGCTACATTTTCATTTCCCGCCAACTTTTAAGCAGATCAGTTTATTTTATATATGTTTTGTATTTAAATGTTTAAGTCTTATTATTTGCGCAGTAAATTCAATACTAGGCATAATTTTTTTTTAAAAAAGTAATAAACTTTATTTTTATTTACTACACAAAAAAAATATGTGACCTAAACTATTGTGTTTTTATTATAAATGTTGAATATAATGCAACTAATACTCAGAGAACCTATGTGTATAGATAGGGTTCGACGAAAGGTTCTATATACCTCTGTGAAGCACGTCGACTCCGCCTATGTCGAAATGGCTTAAAATTTTTTTGGCAGTCATTTACACTCAAAATATGGCTCCACACAAGATCTTAGGCTTTTCTGATAATTATTTTTATTATTACATTTTTCTTTGTGCCGCGTGAGACGAAATACGGCGAATTACATATTCAAAACAATATAATTTTGCATCAACCTCCACAAATATTTGTCTCGTGGGCACAAGAGACCATTTGGCAAAGTTTGGCACCATTCTGGATCTTTTCGGGGGTGGACTCAGCTCAATGTATAATTAATCGGTGAAGTCGCGTGGAAATTCAATTAAAGTGAAAAAATTACCAAACCAATTTAGAAAAATCTCGAACTTGGTGGTGGCTTCACACTGGGCATTTGAAACCCTGATAAAAATTATGAGATCAATCAGGCACTAGAAAGCACATGGACCAGAAAATTCAAAGTATAGTTAACAAAAGAATATAATCAATTAAAGGGTCTTTTCTCTTATTAAATAAATGTTTGGGTGCTTTCTTATCGAGAAAGTGACTTAGTTCAGATGGCTAGCTAGTGCGCTGCGGTTTAGACCTTGGCTATGAGGTCGTGGGTTCAATGCCTGGCTTCCCCATTTTTTTCCAGCGCAACTATATTATTTTATCAAGAAAGATTTTATCCCGGTTATAGCTCAAAGCCGGGACTAAAGGCGGCTGGAGCCTCAAGCCGGGAGTAAAGATTTATTCCCGGTTGGAGGGTCCAGCCACCTTTAGTCCCGGCTCTGGGCTATAACCGGGACTAATTGTTGCCTGCCGTTGCCACACACTTGGGGCAGGAACTTTGTATCCTTGTTTGAGGATACAACCGGGACTAATAGTCCCTTTAGCCCCGAACACAAAAATACCGGGACTAAAGGCAAAAATAGAGGCGGGATGAAAGATCTGTTTTCTAGTAGTGTAGCCTATAAAAATTCTCTCTACAAATCACATGTACTAGAGCAAGTGGTTAGAGCACAATATGATCCTAGTAGCCACTACTAGCACTGGCCCTAGTTCAAACAAGCAAGCCTGCTACACAACCACACTACAGAGCTTAAGCTAGAGAGAAACTACAACTAGTTACTACTAACAAGAACAACTAGCTACTCTAAAGCTAAAACTAACACTAACTAGAGAGCTACAACTACAAGACTACATAATCAACAAGCACAACACAAGCAAATTATGAATGTATATAAAAGTATTGAGCTTATACCAAATATAGCAAGAGAGATGAACACAATGATTTTTCTCCTAAGGTTCAGTTGCTTGCAGGTAACTTAATCCCTGTTGTGGTGAGTCTCAAGGTGAGTGATTCGTGCGCTCACTAGCGTGACAAGCTAGACCCACAACTTGGGTGGCACAAAAATCAATCCCAAGATCACTCCATCTAGCCACAAGCAATCCATTAGAGTATCCCTTTGCACCCCATGAGGTGGGATCAAAGACCTCTCACATATCAATCGACAGAAGGTGGAGTCAATCACCAACTCCCTTCAATAATCATTTAAGCTCCAAGCCGTCGAGGTGGCAGCAACCGCCAAGAGTATCAAGAACACCCAAGCTTCAACAATCAACTAGTGCTAGGAACAAAGACCTCTCACAAATCAAACGATTAGAGGTGGAGAGAATCACCAACCCCTTCAATAATCATCTAATCTCCAATACGTCTAGGTGGTGGCAACCACCAAGAGTATCAAGAAAACCCAAGCTACAACAATCAACTAGTGCTACAAAGATGCAACTCTCAAAAGTAATGCACTAGAGGCTATCCAATCTCTCACAAATATGTTTGCAAGTCAAGAGAGAGAGTGGGGATGTTTGCTCAACTCTAGAGGGATGTATGGAGTTCAATAAATGGCCAAGAGGGGTCCCCAAAAGCAAAGCACCATTTATAGATTGGCGAGGGGAAGATAGATCCATTAACCCCTCCAACACTTTTCTACGTGCCTAGCGGTCCAACCACCGGGGGGGGGGTTGGTCCGCTAGTCTCTAAATAGCTAGTCTATTGCCCCTAATGGGCACTTTAAAAG